TATCTGCTGTAGATGCTGATGAAGACATGGATGCTCTAGCTTGCTTTCAATTAGTTTCGTGTAGAGAGAAGCTTAAGTCTTTGTGTGTTCGAAGAAGAAAACAACTTCAAGATTGCGATGTTAGATTGAGTCGGACTGCTTCAATATGAATCGGACTGGGTTTTTTTATAGGATGCATGATATAGTTTGTATCTTATGGAAAAGCTTAGTCTCTGAGCGTACAACACAATCAACCATTCAGCTGTTCTAAGTAATATTCACTCGAAACCTCTTCCGCTCCTACGTAAATATTGGTGATGGTCTTTTCTGTGCCCACAAGCCTATACTCTAGGAATAGATATTCTTTATAAATTAAGAAATTAAGTACCTTTGTTAAAAAGCAAGGAGAAAAGAAGGTGGTAGTCCTACAACAAAAACTTACTGTAATAGCAAAGAGAAGGCTGTATCTATACTGTACACTGAAGAAAATTAATATGCATTGTGAAATTACAATTTTAAGCAGAAAGCAAAAATAAAAGCTAACTCTACATTTATGCACTATAAATATATACTGTAAGTAATGTAAAAAGTCTAATAGAAGTGATCGTCATAGTGCTTTTTTCAGAACCCACAAGATCGGTGTCCAGTCTAGATGCAATGGATAGTAGACTGACATTTAGGCATCTGAAATGTGTCTAAACATCTTCGTGCAGATTTTTACACTTTCACAAACTACACAATTTTGGCTAAACAAAGTCTCTTATTTTTTGTTGCTGTTGCTTTTCCTTTTTACATATGAACAAACACAGAGTAACAGTAATATCGGACATTAAAGCCTCATAGCACTCACTTCAACACAAGCGAGATGAGACTGCTTTAATATATGAAGCCTGATGCTAGGACCGGTGATGCTGTTGCCTCCATGCATGGTTAAAACTCATGGTTCGATACCGAAATGAGAAGAGAAGTCAGCGGTTTGCATGAAGCTATATGTACTTCATAACCTTCACGAGGCAATTATCCAATACTGTATTGCTTTCTCTGCCCTTCTCTTAAATATAAATCCCGTTGTGTAAAATAAACGCTAGAAATTGCAACAGCACCTTCACGAGCAATAGTGCATTTGGTCGCTTGAGTCAAACATGATTAAGGCTATCTGTAAAGACACAGCTGATGGCCAATATAACCCCCCCCCCCAAATGGATGTTATTTGAGCAATATACCTTATCTAGCAAACTATTTGGAAGTGATATTGATTTCTCTGCTCTCTGGTAGCGCTCATTAAGTGCTTTAATGTGTAGAAATGTGAATGTTTCTGCAGGCCTGACTCTTCTTTTAGAGACATATTTGTGACCCTGGAGCACAAAAGCAGTGTTAAGTCGCTGGGGGATATTTGTATGGGTCAAAATTATACATTTTTCTTTTATGCCAAAAATCATTAGGATATTAAGTAAAGATCATGTTCCATGAAGACATTTAGTGAATTTCCTACCGTAAATATATCAAAACTTAATTTTTGATTAGTAATATGCATTGCTAAGAACTTCATTTGGACAACTTTAAAGATTTTAAAGATTCTTTTGCATACTCAGATTCCAGATGTTCAAATATGGTCCTATTCTAACAAACCATACATCAATGGAAAGCTTATTTATTCATCTTTCAGATGATGTATACATCTCAATTTCGAAAAAATTGACCCTTATGACTGGTTTTGCGCTCCAGTGTCACATAAATGTTCCAGTATAACGTTTCTGTGAATTGCTGCAGTTGAAATTCACATGGACGGTTCCTGAATCGGAAAAATGACATTTATAACTCAAAAATAAACTGTATCATCTACTGGACTATATCAACTGCGACCACAACGATTCAAAACCGACAAAGCTATAACAGCGAGGCCCAGTGTAACCAACGCAACATTCTTCTTCTTCTCAGTTCGCTACTCAACAGCACAACCGTCAAAATGGTACGCCAAGCTGAAATAAAACACGAACAAACAAGTATGCTTGTCTAAGGCAGCACCTCAGACTGATACAACACAGCCTGTGGCCAAACTTTGCAGCATAATTGAGTTTGGTCTGAAAGCACTGGAGAACGATACAGAATCATCGTATTGGGTTAGGCCAGATCATATTATTCAGACTTAAAGCAAGGGCCTTAACAGCATGACGTTCCTCGTGCTATTTATTGTAGGGAATAAGGTTTAATGATTGTTCTTGAGAAAGTTACCAAATGTACTCCGAAGTATTGTCACTGTTGCCGTACCTGTACTGTATATTGCAAAGGAAGCCCTACAGTTCAGGCATCACAAATTGTACAGCACACACATAGAGACATACCAGAGGGATATACACACACACACACAAACATGTTGCACACACATGCTCACACAAACACATACAGAAATGTGCTTGATCCCTAGACAGCACTAAAAAGCTTTGCACAAAGACCCTCTTGTAGAAACTAACTTGTTCTAAAACACATGTATCATATATTTAGGCATACACTACGATTCTTTTTTTTTTGTGGTTTTATGGTTTTGATGTTTTTTTGTTTTGTTTTGCTTTTTTTTAGTTCGGTGTGAATGAGAAGAAAACCGAGCATTTGCTTTAATGAGTTAACTGCATTGGGATAGTGTTGGGATGGGGATGAAAGTGGTGTAAGCGGTACATCATTAGGATCTTACCAGGGATACGCTCACAATTGTTTAAATATAAATAAAGGAGAAGAACAAAAATACGTGCATAAAAAGCACAAAGTAAATACAATAGCAAGTGATGATAACAAAGCCAAGAAAAAGGTAATCATCTAATCAAAAAAAGGAACAAAGCTACTCAAACACAAGTGAACTATAGAACCAAATATTTGATTAAAAAAAAGATTATCTCTAAAAACTAGAACATCTCTGGTAACAGTAGTGCACTTATTGGTTTAAGCAGTGCAACATATATGCAAGAAAACAATGCAGTCCTCTTATCAAGCTTTTAAGAAAAGATATTTCCTTTATAAACAATGCAAAAAAAAAAAAATCATAGAATTTAATTTCTTAAGTAAAACAATTCGATGCTTAAGCACAGGATTTTGAAGTAAATGTGCAAAGTAGCACTGTTTTTCACACTTACACCTTACGCGACCAAATTCCAAAAAGGAAAAGGTCTACGTAAACTGTCATCGTTTTAACTACACTTTGAAGGTGTATCTTCTCAGATAAGTGAGCAAAGTTGTCAGATTGCAGTTGCACGGCAGATGAGTCTTTTTATATCGATAAAATACGTGTATGACAAAGCCAAATATGAACACAGAGCTTCTGAGTGACGTAACACCAAAAATACAACCTTTTCAACTCACTTCCGAAATGCACACACGATGTCTAGATATGGGTAAAATTGGGAATGTTTCTTATTGTTTGGAGAGTTGTCTCCCTGTGGTATATTAAAGAAGAACGACGTGTTGATTTTATTGTGGTTCAGTAGATGTTTTTTTTTCTGTTGCCTTGTGTCCGTATATCCTTCGCCTGCTCTCTCGCCCCATCTGTATATCCCATCAGGCAAAAAACAAGGACGGTTGTTTGAGCCACTAGGTGGCGCTTTAGGAACAGGAGTAGTGCATTTTAATCACCCCACCGGCCCAAACAACTCAGTCATAGTAGTCGCCGCTAACAGGGAATACATCACTTTTATGCATTTAGGAGGTTATTTCTGTCCAGTTCACTTTGATGTAATCTAGCCCATAGCTCCAAATAGCTTAATGTTTAACGAAATAATAATAATTAGAGAAACATCCACACATAGTGTTGGACTCTACAGCTGATAACAGTCTCAAAGTGAGCATGTGAGGAGCAGCAATTAACTTGGATCTCGGGCCTGTTTGCATACTAAAATCTGCCATTTTCCTTTTCCTTTTCCTTTTTTCAAAAATAAAAAAGAGAACCATGGAGCAAATGAAAAGATTAAATCAGTTTCTCGAAACTTTATATCACACTTCGTCGTTTTGAAGCGGAAGAGGTCAACTAACAGTCGTCTTCTTAAGTGGCAGTGTATGCAAAACGAATTGGAAATTATTAACGGCATTCAAAGGTTTTGCTCGAATACTGTCATGTGTATATATATATATATTTTTTTTTGTAAACTTGAACCTGAACCATCAAATTAAAAAAAGTGTGGCGGGAGAAAAGGAAAATCATCATTCATTCATCAAGCCACTCAAAAATTCCCATTTTAGTACAGTTAGTAAAACTGGCTTGTACCTTGACAACATCAACATCATAATCCCTCAACGTCATAATAATAAATAAAAACCCAGTGTCAAATCGGAACAACTCTCCTATTCTTACCGCACGTAAAAAGGCAAACATGTGACCAACGTTATTTTAGGATGAATCTAGAGCCAAATCTTTTTTTTTTCTCTCATTTTTTTTTTTTTTAAATCTATACCACAGTAAGCTTGGACGCTTATAATGTCCAATACGGTCTACATGGGAAAAGATCTACAAGTATAAAAAAAATTCACTGCGATATTAATTTTTGTGCACACGCGCACGCTCACATGCACAAATACACATACGTACAAAATACCTCCACCATATATAAGTGTGTATAAGTAGTTTGTGCGTGTGAGTGCATGCATGTGTATTTGTGTTCGTGTGTATGTGTGTGTGCGCATGTGAATTTTTTTTTTTCTTGTGTGTTCTTTCGCAGGCCTTTCGGTAGTGTTCAACACATAAATCAGTATTTAAGGAAAGCATACATTTAGAGGCCAGTAGTATGGATCCAGCCAGTGGATCATCATCCAACTACACAGCCTTAAGGCCACCATCTTTTTTATTCTTTAAGAATAGCAAGGACAAAAAAAAAGAAAAAAAAGAAAGGAAATTAAACGCTTCTTTTTTTTTCTAGAAAACTTAATGTGCCAGTGTCTATACTCATTACTCTTCATGCCCCAATATAAGAAAAAAAAAAAATCTAGTGCCGTTTTCTGTATCATTTAATTCTCTTTCATGTTTTTTTTTTTATTTGTACTTATCCGTCGGAGACATGCTTGCCCATGTGGTCATTGAAGTGCTCGATTTGGTCAAACTTGACAGGGCACACGGAGCACATGTAGGTGGTCCCCTCCTGGCAGCTTGCTTCCGCAGCGACGCTCACTCCGGTGCTTCCGACTCCAAAAGAGCCACCCTTATGACTGGTTTTGTGCTCCAGGGTCACATAAGCCTCTTGATCGCATAATGTCTATGTTTTGGTTTTTGATATCCCCTTTCAAAAAATTAAATTGTAAAATAATAATAATAACAATAATAATAAAAGACAGATTTTTAAAAGATTGTTCCTGTAATTCTTGCTTTCAACTGTAACTTTTGCTGGAAAAGTTGAACTTTGCATTCAGGTTACTAACTACTTACTAAATGTATTAATTTTAATTGTGGAATTAATTAGTGCTGTGGTTGCCTAGCAACAGTAATGTAAAACTTTGAAATCTAAAAAGGCCAGCACTAGGCTACACTGAAATTCCATAGACGTTCCTCTTCTCATCCAAAACACATCAGATTAAAAAAAAATAGCTAAAGTTACATTAAAGGTTTGTAGTCAATTATCATTATTACAATCAGGAATGACATGTAAAGCTTGTCAGGCAGTAATTTCTACTGAAAATTGATTTGATTCGATACAGAGAATGAATTAGAAATAACTGCAGCTGTTTTATTCTGTGTGAGGTCTGCAGGAACTGGTGCAAGTCTGTGCCATGCATTTACAGAGCATACAAAATACATTAGTGGAAAACAAGAAAAGTCCATTTAAAAAAAATGTGTATAAAAAAAGAAAGACCTATGGTGGAAAAGTACAAATCACAAGAAAGTAAATGTATTGTGGTGTAAAAGTTCCTTTTTGAAATGAGCAAATCCTGTGCCAATTTCACCCCAAAAAATTTATCTCAGTAAATTGTACATATAAAGTGAAATATAATCTTGTGAAAAATATTGGAAACTCTGCAGTATAAATCATTCCATTCGAAGGCCATACCTGGCCAGTTATTTACATATTTATGTTTTTGGCAGCTTCAATCTTCTAGGTCACAGGCAATAACATCTGCTCTTATTGTCAAATATCTTTTGTCATATTCTGCATGATAAAAGCTCCTGTGACTCAATTATGGCAGCATGTTTGAAGACATACCAAGCATCAAAGTCCGATTGTTTTAATAAAAAAATGTGTATAAAAAAAAGAAAGACCTATGGTGGAAAAGTACAAATCACAAGAAAGCAAATGTATTGTGGTGTAAAAGTTCCTTTTTGAAATGAGCAAATCCTGTGCCAATTTCACCCCAAAAAATTTATCTCAGTAAATTGTACATATAAAGTGAAATATAATCTTGTGAAAAATATTGGAAACTCTGCAGTATAAATCATTCCATTCGAAGGCCATACCTGGCCAGTTATTTACATATTTATGTTTTTGGCAGCTTCAATCTTCTAGGTCACAGGCAATAACATCTGCTCTTATTGTCAAATATCTTTTGTCATATTCTGCATGATAAAAGCTCCTGTGACTCAATTATGGCAGCATGTTTGAAGACATACCAAGCATCAAAGTCCGATTGTTTTAATAAACATATAAGAATACACAGACTTGGTTTTGGCCTGAAGACAGATCATCACTGCATAGTAATCTACTTCAGGAGATCACAGAGTCAAATTTAATTATCTTACTAATCTTAACGTTGCCATAGTTGAATGCTCTTTTGAAGGCAGGATATATTTACTGTGCACTTCAAGGGTTCAGAATATGCCCTGCTAATAAATAGTTTGTCAGTCTCCAGAAGACAAAAACAGTAAGAGTTACTACTGTAGAATCTCACTTAGGCTTCTAACAAGTGGACATGCCAAAGCCAGGTTGCTCAAGGATGTGCTTAAAAAGTTGGTTTAGTTAAAAAGCACCTTCCTAAAATGTCAATGATTCAGTGGCATGTCAAAAAAATTAATAAATAGTGCAGACTTTTATATAAAACAAGTTCACACCTGCTTATATGCATTGACAAAGCTGGAACTAGCATGCATTCAGCAAACAGCTTGAGTACATTCAGTGCACAGAGAAGCCTAAAGGAAAGGTTGCTTTCGTATGTCAAAGCCCAATAACTGAAGAATCATATCGATAATTTTGAGGTCCTGATGGATACTTGCCACACTGTTGAAATGGCCTGGGTTGCTTATCATATAATACCTAATCCACAGAGGACAGCCAACAAGGATAATTCACAATTAGTGCTGTCAAACGATTAATTGTGATTAATTGCATTCAAAGAAAAAGTTTTTGTTTACATAATATATGTGTGTGTGTACTGTGTATATTTATTATGTATATATAAATACACAAACATACATGTATATATTTAAGAAAAATATGTTTGGTATATATAAAAAATATTAATATTTATATATAATATAAATTATATTTGACTATATATATATATATATATACAAGTAAATATTTTTTAAAATATATACATGTGTGTTTGTGTATTTATATACACTACCGGTCAAAAGTTTGGGATCAGAATGATTTTTAATGTTTTATACAGAAGTCTCTTCTGCTCATCAAGGGTGCATTTATTTGATCAAAAAACAGGAAAAAATGTAATATTGTGAAATATTATTATGATGTAAAATAACGTTTTTCTATTTTAATATACATTAAAATATAATGTATTTCTGTGATGCGCAGCTGTATTTTCAGCATCATTCCTCCAGTCTTCAGTGTCACATGATCTTCAGAAATCAGTATAATATGCTGATTTATTATCAGTGCTGAAACTGTTGCGCTGCTTAATATTTTTTTCAGGATTCTATGATGAATAAAAAGTTAAAAAGAAGAGCATTTGTTTAAAATAGAAGTCTTTTCTAACAATATACACTACCGTTCAACAGTTTGGGGTCGGTACATTTTTATTCTTTCTTTTTTTGAAAGAAATTTTAACTTTTATTCAGCGAGGACGTGTTAAATTGTTAAGAAGTGATAGCAAAGATTTATATTGTTAGAAAAGATTTATATTTTGAATAAATGCTGTACTTTTTAACTTTTTATTCATCAAAGAATCCTGAATAAAGTATCAGTTTCCAAAAAAATATTTGGCAGCACAACATTGATAATTCTAATAATAAATCAGCATATTATAATGATTTCTGAAGATCATGTGACACTTTATACTGGAGTAATGATGCTGAAAATACAGCTGCGCATCACAGAAATACATTATATTTTAAAGGATATTAAAATAGAAACCATTATTTTATATTGTAATAAAATTTAGCAAGATTACTGTTGTTTTCTGTATTTTTGATCAAATAAATGCAGCCTTGATGAGCAGAAGAGATGTCTTTAAAAAACATTACAAGTCTTACTGATCCCAAACTTTTGACCGGTAGTGTATACATAATAAATATACACAGTACACACACACACACACACACACACATATATATTATGTAAACAAAAACTTTTATTTTGGACTTTTATTAATCATGATTAATCGTTTGACAGCACTAAGCATTACCAATTATTCACCCTGAATCGAAAGTGTTTCAGACCAGCTCATGGATATAACTGGATACAACTTAAAGGGATAGTTCACCCAAAAATGAAAATGTGATGTTTATCTGCTTACCCCCAGGGCATCCAAGATGTAGGTGACTTTGTTTCTTCAGTAGAACACAAACGAAGATTTTTAATTCAAACCGTTACAGTCTGTCAGTCATATAATGGAAGTGTTGGGAATCACGGCTTTGAGAGTCAAAAAAACATACACAAACAAAACCAAATTAAACCCTGCGGCTCGTGACGATACACTCTAAAAAATGCTGGGTTAAATACAACCCAGTGCTGGGTAAAATAGGGACAAACCCAGCAATTGGGTTGTTTTGACCCAGCGGTTGGGTTAAATGTTTAACCCATCCTTCTGGGTAGTAACCCAACCGCTGGGTCAAAACAACCCAATTGACAGACTGCAACGGTTTGAGTTAAAAATCTTCGTTTGTGCTCTACTGAAGAAACAAAGTTACCTACATCCTGGATGCCCTGGGGGTAAGCAGATAAACATCAAATTTTTATTTTTGGGTGAACTATCCCTTTAACTAGCTAACAATAAGGAGATGAAGGCCAAGGGAACTCACCTGTGTGCACAAACATGTGTTTCACGAAGTTTTGTTTGGCAGTGAAGGTCTTTGAACAAAGAGTGCATGCGTAGGGCTTCTTCTCCCCATGCTGTCCCACGGCAGCATTACCTTGCTGTTGACTTCCAGCCGGTGGCACGGTCAGTCCGCTGGGGAACGGAGAGGGCACTGCCACAAATTGGGGCTGCTGACTTCCAATGGACTGGGGCAGGCTGAAGAGGAAAGGCTTGTTGTCGCTGGCTGACTGGGTTGCAAAGAGTGTAGGCAAGTACGTGTTGCCTGCGGTTCCCATTACCTGGGTGTTGCTGGTTAGGGTGAGGGGCATACGCAGGTTGCTGGTAAGTGGCTCACCTGGCCGCAGGTACGGCCCAGCAGGCATCGACTGGGGTGCTTGTGGCGGCTGATAGATTCCAAGCTCGCCACACTCTTGAGAAGGACCGTTTCTATTCCCGTCTTCAACCGACTCTTGCTCGGGGGATGAATCGTTGACCTCGATCTGCACAGGGGTTCCCCGCTCACCTTGCTGGCCTTTGTTTGGACAGTTGTCTCGAGTGAACCCAGACAAGAAAGGCTGCTCGACAGAATCCGTTTCCGTGCCGATGGAAGAGCTGACGCCGGAGTCGAAGCTCTCGCCTTTGGGCTCGCACTCCAGCTGCTCGCTGTCCTCACGGCAGTCCTCCAGCCCGTAGCAGGTGTACTCGTCCCCTTGCTCCTGCTTGATGTGAATATCACCCGTGTGGAGCCTCACGGGACGAGGCTGTTTACGGCAGTGTGTAGTCTCTGTCGTGGCTAGGAAGCGCTCCATCTGTTGCGAGCGCTCGTGGATGCGTGTGATCCAGGCAGGGTCCTGCCCTCCCTCCTTCTGCTGTAGAGGAAGGGGTGAGTCGTAGCCGGCTGTCACCACGGTGCTGGCATAGTGGGAGCGATTTCCACGGGTCCCGTTTTGCAGGCCCAACCCAGAGCAGCTGGAATACAGCGAGGAGTAAACACGGTCAAGGCTCTGGTGAGATGTTTGCATGTAGCCTGATTCGGCATCACTACTAGGACCGGAGGTGCCAGACTCAGGAGTTCCCCGAGGCGTCTCCTGCCCCGAGTCGCCTGGGACGACGGAAAAGCTGCCAGATCCAGCGAAGCCAACATTCTGCGAAACAATGCGGGTGCACTCGTCGATAACGGTCTTGATCTGTAGTATGCTGGCAGCTGTGAGGATCTGTAGCGCCTCGGACTGGGAGACCCGCAGCACGCCGCTGTACATGAAGTCAATCAGTTTCTGGACGGACTGCACAGAAACCACAGAGGGGATCTCGATGTCACTGTAGCCCAGGAGCAGCTTGTCCTGAAAGAAGGGGCTGCCTGCAGCCAGCACACAGCGGTGAGCTCGCAGCATGCTACCGTGGATCCGAACCGTCACGTCACAGAAGTGCCCGCGGTTTCGCTGCTCATTGAGGGTCTCAAGTACAGAATTGCTAAAGTTGTGGAGATTAATGTGGTGAATGCGTTCGGTCATCCCCTTGCACCTGATGTCACCTGAGACACAAACACAAACAGAAAAAGTCATGCACTTGATTTATGCATTTCTGAAACATTTCAGTATAATGTCGACCATAAATAAAAGCTTTTAACAAATACTGTAAGCTACACATTCTCACTCTCAACTCGTCACATACTGACGCTTGGTCACGGCCCTCTGGCGTCACTTTTTAACGCACAGCGACATGCAGGGCACTCCGTTGCTTTGCATAAGAAACCCTTTGCATCAACATGCAGATGGGAAGGGAATGGGAATATTATCGTCATGAATCATTTATATATTGGGTAATAATTTTGCAACTATTACATGTATGCTGGGGTGTGATTTTCAATTTAAACAGTCACAAGAGTTTTATTTACAGTACATTACACTATTTACACATATTTGTGCACGTAACAGTACTCCTACCCCTAAACCTAAACATTTGTCATTATAAAACACAGGGTAAAAAAGGCAGAAGCGTTACATCAGCTTTGGTTGTGAAATGCCATTGGCTCTTGTGTGTCTTGTGACCGATTGCATCATGCTAAAGTTCTGGAGTATCTTTTGACTGAAATATGACCCTGTTAACGGACCATGTTATCATTTTCATTGATTAAAACCTTACGTTTTACTCTGTTCTTCATATAAAGATATGGTATGGCTTCAGAAGACTCGGAATGCAACTGAGTTTGTTTGTAATATATTTATACTGCTTTTGGGTCAGTTTTTGAAATAAATTTGTGTGGCTGTTACGTGTTTTATATTGATGAGACGTGTCCGGGTTAAGGATAGGGGTGAGGTTAGGTGCTCCAAAAAAAAAATCTACGAACGTATAAATGTATATAAAATGATTTCTATTTTCACAAATGCATGCAAAGAATTAAATGTCGCTTTTTAACATTCCTTGATCGCATCAGTATATACATTCCCTATATTTTTCTTCAAGTATGTTAATTCACTAGGATTCAAAACCAGTCTTGTTGGTAACGCATTACAAGTAACGCGAGTTACGTAATCAGATTACTTTTTTCAAGTAACTAGTAAAGTAACACATTACTTTTTAATTTACAAGAGAATATCTGAGTTACTTTTTCAAATAAGTAACGCAAGTTAATTTTCCCCCCCAATTTATTGACTGACAGCTCTGCTGTCGCCATGTCGAGAGAAATCAGAAAATGTTACTGTAGACCTAAAATAAATATGAATGTGCATTAATTCATCTCACTCACAAAAAACAAAAAAACAGATTCAGTATTCCTCACAATGAATACAAATAATGCAACTGCCATGTCGAGAGAAATCTGAAAATGTTACTGTAGACCTAAAATAAATATGAATGTGCATTAATTCATCTCACACACACAAAAAACAAAAACACAGATTCACTATTCCTCAAAATGAATAAAAATAATGCAACTCAGAATATGACGCAAACCTGCAATAATTAAATGTTAAACAACACAAATATGCTTTATGTATTTAATCCCATTCTATTAAGCAATGTCTTTGCTTCTGACCTTCGATGATCCAGTTCAAGCGTACTAATAAGCACAAATTACTCTAGACGAACATTTGTGTGTCTTTGTTTATTGCTGAAGTGTGTTGCTGAAGAATTCTACTGTACGGACGTAAATTTACTTTCCCTTCAGCCTGAGGCTTATTCATTTTTCACTTTTGGTATGAAAAGGCTTTTATATTTGCCAAAAATATAACTTTTTTATTTTAAAAACAAACAAGCAAGCCCTGTCCAGATTTAAAAAGTAACGCAAAAGTAACATAACACATTACTTTCCATAAAAAGTAACGTAATCAGTTACTTTTTTATGGAGTAACGCAATATTGTAATGCATTACTTTTAAAAGTAACTTTCCCCAACACTGTTCAAAACATACCATCAGAAAATCTATTTAATATAATGATTTAAGAAAACACAAAGCCATAGAAATACTAGATTGCATAATAGATGTGATATAATAGACAACAGAAAGAGTTGCCACAAATATATGAGAATTATAATATTTTCTTCCTCAAAAATCAAGAAGTGTAGGCTGTTAAATATGTAGATAATAGATTGCCACTGCTTTAGGCATGCACATTAATTACCTTGTGTGTTTACAGGCTGAGTATGAGCAATAAATAAACCATAGATAACCACAGGCATATGCTTCAGTCTTGCATTATCTTATGGAATGTGTTCAATGACATTTTCTGTAGAATGTGTGTTCATTTTCTGTCTCCTCCTTATGCACTAAATGGTCACGGGATGTTGTTTGCCAGAATGTAGCCAACGGCAGAGTATCACTGTGACATTCTGAGAATAGACTGTGTCCTGCTAAAGTGTTTCAGAAATTGTAAGAATGTATTTAACAGTACACCCCTGTAATACATACCATCCTGCAGCAATAGTAAGAGAAGTGCGGTAGTTTATTTACATGTGATTACTTAATGTTTTGATTACTTTTTTTGTGGGAGCTAAACTCTGCAGGTTCTGGAACAGGATTGGAAACCTCTTATACAGCATAGTATATGTTTTGGGTAATAATATACAATACCCAGAAGTGTTTGTCAAAATGAGCAGTAACAAAGCTAACCACATACAATTATTCATCCCACACATATGGATTTCTAACGCTAAATGTTCAAGATTGAGTAACTGGACGCCACTTTCAATGAGGTCATGTGATGACCAAGTACAGTAGCATACTACTGTTCAAAACATTTATTGAGGAATAACGTGTACTGTTTCACCTACTCTTTTTAAAAATCAGTATAGAGTGTATAGTGTGCAGTACTCAGTAAGTAGTAAGCTAGTATTCTATTCCAAACATTCCAAAAAACACTGCCAGAATACTGTATCCTCCATCAGGAAGAATGAAATGGAAGTAACAAAAACTGTAATATTTAACCGTGATCTCCCCATCTTGAGTCTATTTCATCAGACAGACAAAACTGACATCAATGTGGCACAGCCTACTACTCTCTGTAATAGCTGCATAATATATACTTTCACATACTCTTTTTTTAAAAACAGTAGAACACTTACTGTATCTAGTAAGCCAATAATGTCTTTACTGTCTACTACAGCCAGTCCGCTCCACAACCGCCAAAACATTTACTTTATGGGTAATATGTTTACTGTCTGTCTCTATATTCTGTAACTATATATAACTCTAACTATATGAGGCATCGATTTAGAACGGAGCACGTAATGGTCTTTGAGAATATCACTGTGTCTCTATGGATTTGAAGAGCAGACATCTCTTGTTTAAAATGTTTAAAAAATCTAGAGAACCGTAATTATGTTATACATACACTCTAAAAAATGCTGGGTTGTTTCAACCCAAATGAGAATATCACTGTGTCTCTATGGATTTGAAGAGCAGACATCTCTTGTTTAAAATGTTTAAAAGAATCTAGAGAACCGTAATTATGTTATACATACACTCTAAAAAATGCTGGGTTGTTTCAACCCAATTTTGGGTCAAATATGGACTAACCCAACCGTTGGGTGAAATTTTGGTTACATTTTTAAATTAACTTTTTAACCTAACAGGTGGGTTAGTCCATATTGAGACAACCCAGCATTTTTTAGTGTACACACACACACACACACACACACACACACACACACACACACACACACACACAAATAACCCTCTAACTCCAATGCATAAAATTACAATTTAAGGTTACACTTTATTTTAAGGTGTCCTTGTTACAGTGTAACTATATATTTAAGTACTGACTAATATTAATTAACTACATGTACTTACTATATGGTAAGGATTAGGGTTTGGCTTAGGGTTACTTGCATGTAATTATGCATAATTAATTGTTATTATAATAGTAAGTACGTGTAACGTGTAACAAGGACACCTTAAAATAAAGTGTTCCCCAATTCAAATATACTGTTACACTGCAAACCCATTTAAAGGAAGTAACGAATATAAATGAAAGCAAGTGGTGCCCGCTTAATGCATTTAATACACACCATGCCCTACATAATATACATTATAACCTAAAATGTTGAAAAAAGGTAATGTCCATGTTATTTTTCAACTGTCCATATATTTAAGGCTTAAAAACAGAAAAGAAGAATTTTAGGATTGAAAACACTTAAGATCAGCATTTACACGTACAATATCTAGATCTATATAAATCTAGTTCAGGGCACCGTACATTAGATATACAGCTACACTTTTTTTTTTTGCATGTCATGAGATGATTTTAAATTATAAATATGTACTGTAGCTTAATAGCAACAATCTTGCAAAACACACTGAATAATCAATGTCGCTTTTTATAACTTAACAGGTGGCGTCGCCATGCCATTTCAAACAGCATTAAACTATCACAAATTAGCACACTGGAGACATTATTTATGAAAAGTGGAGAGGCTAATGGAGAAGCAGTGACCTAAAAAAGCATTTGTTTTCACAGACAGAGGGCAGTCTTGAGCTAGCCAGCACTAGTCCTCATATGCAGCACGTGTTTCGCTTTTGCATTACATATGAAATCAAAAAATGAGTGAATCAAATCAATCAAGCCAAGATGGGTCCATGGGATCATGATTCATGCAATGAGTCATTTTCAGACCTCTCTGAAGCTCACACTCATGCTGGTCTGCATCTGAAAGAACGTGACAGTCTATACAAAGAGTTTTGGAGAGAGCACAAAATGTCTACTTTCTGTGAGGTGCTACACCCTTTTTCAACAGAAGGCTTTGGGACTCTTAAAAATGCCCAGAAGAGTTTTAACACGGTTGATAACGGTCGTGCAGAAACCTGTACACGCAAAGTTGAAAGCACACACTGTTTGCTGTCTCCCCTTTCCACGTGCATTCCTCTCTGAGCACTTCTCAGCTTTACGCATTGTCATGTTGCTACCACGTCTTACTCCCTCAGCTCATTTTAACAGCAAACTCATAAGAAAGCATTAAAATGTCATTTCTTCACTCGTATGATTTCAAGAGCATTTAAATGTTAGTGCTGCATAAAAGCATGTGAAAAGACGGGTTAGCACAGCAGGTCGTTCCTTTAGGATCCATAGCAAACAGCAGATTTCAAGATTCACCTCTGAGACTTAAAGCATGACACTGCAAGGATGATACGGCAGGGAAATATGCATCCTTTTTGAAGGTTATCGAAGCATAGAGTTGTAGAAGAAAAAGAAGAAGAAAAACCATGTGCTTGTCTGTGTCTAGACATGTTTCTGTAAAACTTTAAAACCTCTTAATGAAAAAACGAATGTGAAACCGTCTAGTTCTCATAAAGAGGTAAGTGGTACACAGCAAGACCCTGGTAATAAATAAAATAATATTATATAATATTTTTATTCCTAATGTCTGATTCCAATTTTAATATATATGATATATATGACCCTGGAGCACAAAACCAGTCATAAGGGTCCATTTTTCGAAACTGAGATGTATGCATCATCTGAATAAAGCTGAATAAATGCTTTCCATATTGATGTATGGTTTGTTAGGATAGGACAATATTTGAAAATCTGGAATCTGAGGGTGCAAAAAAATCGAAATATTGAGAAAATCATCTTTAAAGTTGTTCAAATGAAGTTCTTAGCAATGCATATTACTAAACAAAAAGTCCCTGGAGCACAAAACCAGTCATAAGGGTCCATTTTTTCGAAACTGAGATGTATGCATCATCTGAAAGCTGATTAAATAAGCTTTCCATTGATGTATGGTTTGTTAGGATAGGACAATATTTGAAAATCTGGAATCTGAGGGTGCAAAAAAATCGAAATATTGAGAAAATCATCTTTAAAGTTGTTCAAATGAAGTTCTTAGCAATGCATATTACTAAACAAAAAGTTTTGATATATTTACAGTAGGAAAATATCTTCATGGAACATGATCTTTACTTAATATCCTAATGATTTTTGGCATAAAAGAAAAATCAATAATTTTGACCCATACAATGTATTGTTGGCTATTGCTACAAATATCCCCCAGCGACTTAACACTGCTTCTGTGCTGCAGAGTCACACACACACACACACACACACACACACACATATTTTATATAAGACACATGCAAAGCCCAGATTTTTGCAGTGTCAGAGTGGGATGTGAATAGGTAATGCTCACACATTGAGATGATACACAAACAGACAAAATATTATTGTATTATGTTTTTCCTAAAAGTCTTGGGCTTGATTTCCCGAAGGCAAGCTTAAAGACGGGTCTGCTTTTGATTCAGGATTGATAACGACATCAGAGATCAGACAGAAGAGTTTCAAGTGCCTCTAAAAAAAGTTTGAAGACAGTCTTTCTCTAAATTCCTCAAATAAACGTGTTATTCAGTATTAGTCTGAATTGCAATGCAAAATATGGAATGGTTTGCAAAATAATCAGTTTGATCTGGATTGGAAAATGTCTAAATGTAGCTATTGTGCGGCACCTTTAGATCTGCACAGTTAGTCAAGCGACTGATGAGGATTTTACAGCAGCGTGATTTATATGAACTAGGAATATTGATATTAATCAAAGTATTGCATTATGTATATGTTGCTTAGAGTGCATATTGTTTACCAAGAGGGAAAAATACACACTGAACACAGGTGGTGACGTCCTGATTTAATGAATGGTGGTATTATAACAGTGTGGTACTGTACACAAATACAGTATATATATATATATGAAGAGACAGCTAAAGTCTTCCTTTGGTGTGATGTCAATCTGCCAAATTATACTGAAGTGTGTAATGCAGTAAGGTAGTGCCATGCTAAATATACTAATACATTTTTACTTCTACAACATTTTTAGATTGTTTTGTGTTCTGAGTGCTATTAGGTTGCATAGTTTATATACGACAACACTACACGATCTCCTGTGAAAAAGTAGTGCACTTAACTGTATTGTGTGCACTTGTAGTGTATAGTGTTAATAGTATACATTGTAAATAAACTGTACTTGCAGATATAATATTAATGAAATATAAAGCAACAAAAGTGTACTCAAAGAGAATAGACTTTCACGACTAAGTTTCTCATTATATTTTAAATCATTATGTTTGAATAATCTTTTGCGGTGCTTTACAGAAGATGTGTTCACTAACATGTAAAGTACTTGATTATCATTTTTACTGTAGTCTGTTATTTAGAATTACATTTAAAGTTAATACATTTTTTAAGTACCAAATTGCATCTTCATCATTACAAATGTGCAATTACAAATCTATTTAAATAAAACTTATAACAGATGTTAAAGTATACTTTAGCTCACCATAAATTCGGCAGTACACTTTAATTAACTATATTTCAAAGACAAACAGAAGTGATTATAAAATTGCATTCAGAGATCCGACTGCAATTATCATTCAAATAAATGTCTCAAAAACATGTCCAAAATTATATACAAGTACATACTTTTTTGAAAGTATGCTCAAGTTTACTTCTTTATCACAAAGGTATCCTTTGAGAAAGAGAACTGGCAAAATTTGCTGGCAAAAGATCAAAAACTAAGGATTTATATTTTGCATAAGGAAAGAAAAGCATATTTTAGGACCACAATCATTTTTATGTATTATGCCATTATTTTCATGACAGTTAAGCGCATCCCCACACCCACCTCACCCCCAAATTCTCATTACTGTAATGCATCTATTTCACTTTTGAGATTATACATAATTCTCATTACTTTCAATGATGATTTTCATTATATTCTCATTACTGTAATAAACAGTGTGAGGCGGAGTGTGTGTACAGCTCTGTGATAATGCTGCTTGTAATTGCTGGTCTAGAATCAGTTTTTCCTCCACAACACACATTCCAGCCAATCAGAATTGAGAATTCAGACAGAACATGGTCAATTGAAATATATATATATATAAGTTTTTTCCCATTAGTGACAATGAGATTTTTTCTCAATTTGAAGGGAAATGTGCTCAACTGTAAATAATGTCACAATGTAAAAAAACTAAACAAAAAAATGAATGGAAGATTTTGATTTGAAATATGACCTGGGCCTGTTCTTGACAGATTTGATGAGATTCACCCAAATACAGGCGAGTCTATATATGTGTCCTTTTAACACACAAACTATATGTGACCCTGGAGCACAAAACCTGTGATAAGGGTCCATTTTTCGAAATTGAGATGTATACATCATCTGAAATCTGAATAAATAAGCTTTCCATTGATGTATGGTTTGTTAGGATCGGACAATATTTGGCTGAGATGCAACTATTTGAAAATCTGGAATCTGAGGGTGCAAAAAAATCAAAATATTGAGAAAATCATCTTTGAAGTTGTTCAAATGAAGTTCTTAGCAATGCATATTACTAATCAAACATTAAGTTTTGATATATTTACGGTAGGAGATTTACAAAATATCTTCATGTAACATGATCTTTACTTAATATCCTAATGATTTTTGGCATAAAAGAGAAATGTATAATTGTGACCCATACAATGTATTTTTGGCTATTGCTACAAATATCCCCGTGCAACTTAAGACTGGTGTTGTGCTCCAGGGTCACATATGGTGCAAACAGATGCGTTTCTCTTCTGTAGGTTGTGGTGTATTTATTATTATTATTTTTTTATCTCAGAAAGAAGGAAAGAGAAAGGGAGAGGGTGTTCAAGTGACTGCTAAACAAGCACGACAACAGCCTGATATTACACTTTAATCAACCAGAGAGAAATGTTTGTACAAAAGATGAGAAATTGAAGCGGGGCAAACTTACAGTCTGATGGTGTTCTGTGTATGTGGGTGTGTTTGTGTATCAGGCTGGTGAAGAGGCACTGGTTAGATGCTACAGGTTGCTGGTGGTGGTGGTGCAGTGGAAGAGGTCAGTCATTAGCCACTCATTTCATTTCGGTCTGGCCACAATCTAACCTCATGCAGAATCTTCAAAGTCGCCCTGCAAAAAGAATCAGAGAGAACAACTATTGCATGTGTTTTTTTTTTGCTCAACATGGGAGATTTACCCTTTTTCTGACTAATAAAGTCACATTTATATACAATCAACAAGCATCAAGTACCCAAATATCAAAGGTGGAAAGCAGGAATACAGAGATATGGCCTAGAAACAGTAGTTCATTTTATACAACATTGAATCTGATTGGACGAAAGGCTTCCAAGAGTGCTGATATTCCACCAGTAACAGCACTGGGATTTTTCACCGTTTGTATCACTCCGCGTTCTAAACAGGCCCTTAATCTGTGCAGGGGCGGACTTACTGATTTGGGGGCCCTACGCAAATTACAGGTATGGGGCCCCAACACAATAACTATGTGCTCTTTTACGCCTGACCCTTATTTTGCCTTGCTTTATTTACCTCTTCACAACTTAAATAAATACTTAGTCAACCTGATGCTGTTCTAAAGCCACATTATACCTATTTTTTCGGATCACAAAAGAAGACATTATATATATATATACTGTATATATATATATATATATATATATATATAAATGCTTGCACTTGTCCATTTAATGAATTTTAACCTACTTCGATATTTTTACAAAAAGGATTCAAATGTCATAAAATTATCCCATGCAAGTCGTTCCGTATTCCAAGTGTTCTTAAGGGGTTTGCCGAGAACATGTAATCTATTATTAAGTGAAAATCTGTAGCAAAAATGTGTGCTTTTGTATGAGTGTGCAGCGGTTCGTGTGCAGAGGAAAAGCACACAAGCGAGTCATCTTGAAACATCAAGACAAATAAAATCATGACACGAAACGCGAAACTTTCTTTCTCTGAGGTTAATATATATTTATTCTGAGAAAGTCAAATGGGATTATACAGCATAGAAACTGACCAAAAGCTGTCTAAAAGCACTTCAGTTCATCGTGATCTCACGACGTCCCGTTAATCAATGAATCTCTCTGCACCGCACAATCAATCTCTTATTTACATCGTATCTACACGTTATTGTAATGAGAGGATTCGCGAGCTTGCAGAACTCGGCACTGGACAAAAACTCTGCGTTTTGAGCAGTGACTGAATATTTGACGCTCTCCAGAACACAAAAACACACTGGAGCGTTTGCCAGATATGTTTCGCCAATATCAGATGGGCCCCCCTGAATCGCATATAGAGCCATATCGCACTCCTGCTCGTGTAATATTGCCCATATATAACACTGTAAAAACACTAACCCTGCAATCACCTAGAATACCCTAGTAACCACATAGCAACGCTCTAGTGGCGCAGAGGAAAAGCACACAAGCGAGCCATCTTGAAACATCAAGACAAATAAAATCATGACACGAAACGCGAAACTTTCTTTCTCTGAGGTTAATATATATTTATTCTGAGAAAGTCAAACGGGATTATACAGCATAGAAACTGACCAAAAGCTGTCTAAAAGCACTTCAGTTCATCGCGATCTCACGACGTCCCGTTAATCATTGAATCTCTCTGCACCGCACAATCAATCTCTTATTTACATCGTATCTACACGTTATTGTAATGAGAGGATTCACGAGCTTGCAGAACTCGGCACTGGACAAAAACTCTGCGTTTTGAGCAGTGACTGAATATTTGACGCTCTCCAGAACACAAAAACACACTGGAGCGTTTGCCAGATATGTTTCGCCAATATCAGATGGGCCCCCCTGAATCGCATATAGAGCCATATCGCACTCCTGCTCGTGTAATATTGCCCATATATAACACTGTAAAAACACTAACCCTGCAATCACCTAGAATACCCTAGTAACCACATAGCAACGCTCTAGTGGCAAGTGCAATGATGCAGGCATCCAATGACCAATGAAAATCTCATTCTATATTTCAAACTGACCATGAACAAACCTCATTGGTTCCTGCAGAAGCGCAAACTAAGCAAGCACGGTTGAGCTTCCTCTGACCACAGGTGCTTCCTAATCGAAGGCATCTTTTCTAGTCCAGTCCTTTTGAGGCTTCTAGACTCCTTCTGTGCACGGCTCCACAAATGTTTCCCAAACACATTTTGTTGTTCTTAAATTACAGAATGAAATTGGACAAAGCTTAGTCCTGATTCATTTTGCTCCAAATCTTTTTTTTGTGAACCGGAATGCTTCGCGATTAGAGAATGTGAAGGATCCGCTTGATGACTTGAAAATACGCTGAATAAAGAACGTGAAGCGAAGGCTGCGTTCCAAGGACCCTTCAAATTGACACAGCCTTCAACAGTGCTTAATGTGCACATCTTTTGTGTGCTTTATGTATGCGCACTGATAAAAGTTTATGTGAATATAAGCCTAAATTAAATCTGTTCATCATATAAAGGGATCGTGTCTCTTCAGAAGAAAAAGGAAACCGCTCAATTAATATGGATTTCTTTTACAATCTCTTTACAAAGTTTTTGAAGAAACAAGGTTTTGGGTGAATGGATGAACTTTGAAATTGAATTGAAAATTTAAATTAAACTGTACAAACAAGAGATCTGAGTCCACTTTCAGGTCCAAGTACAATGTGAATGCAAAGAGAACTATTAGTTAAAGGAGAAAATGTGTTCCCTAATCTAAATTGTTACTAAATTTGCTTGTGATTGTTTTTATTCAAGACAAAAAAAAAAGTTTTCCACATGGTTTTTTACTAAATCATAATTTATATGTAATAATAAACAATCTTTACCTACATTTTTTTAATGATGAAAATGCAAACTTATTAATGCAAACTTAACGTCTGTATAATAATTTTTATACAGCATACAGTATATCACTATCATGATCACAAAAAACTAAAAAATAAACAGGACAAGGAAAGTATTTATAATCAATTTATCACCTGCCCTGGTCAAAGTTAAAAACCCAATCAAAATATTTGTTTAAATAAAATTTTTTTTAACCAGAATTAATGCAGCACTAAATCAAAACTAGTGACTCAGAAAAGCCTTGGTAAAAGAGACCTCAAAAACTTCCCATCATGTCTCCACATATCACATACGGAGAGCACCAGTTCCCCATCCTTTGCACTTTGTGAATGTACAGTATAAAGAGACGGTTATAACACTGTAACTTCCTGTCTACTGCCATGGAGGAAGGAAGCAGTTCTTATCACAAAGACACATTTGTGGCAAACCTGTGGACACACTTCACCACCAATTATAGGGTCAAACTCTGCTGAAGGAGAAATCATATGCTCACTGGGCCAGGTGTTATTATGAGAGATGATAGAATGGTCAGCCTGCCACACCCATCCTTTCCACACACACACACACACACACACACACACACACACACACACACACACACACACACACACACACACACACACACACACACACGCACACACGCTCACACACACACACATACACACACAAACACGCACACGCACGCACGCACGCTCACACACACAAACACACACACACACACTCTCGCACACGCACGAACGCACGCTCACACACACAAACACACACACACACACGCATGCATACACACACACACACACTCTCGCACTCACACACACACACGCACGCACGCTCACACACACGCTCACACACACACACTCTCACACACGCACACGCACGCACGCACGCTCACACACACGCTCACACACACACACTCTCACACACGCACACGCACGCACGCACGCTCACACACACGCTCACACACACACACTCTCACACACGCACACGCACGCACGCACGCTCACACACACGCTCACACACACACACTCTCACACACGCACACGCACGCACGCACGCTCACACACACGCTCACACACACACACTCTCACACACGCACACGCACGCACGCACGCTCACACACACGCTCACACACACACACTCTCACACACGCACACGCACGCACGCACGCTCACACACACGCTCACACACACACACTCTCACACACGCACACGCACGCACGCACGCTCACACACACGCTCACACACACACACTCTCACACACGCACACGCACGCACGCACGCTCACACACACGCTCACACACACACACTCTCACACACGCACACGCACGCACGCACGCTCACACACACGCTCACACACACACACTCTCACACACGCACACGCACGCACGCACGCTCACACACACAAACACACACACACACACGCACACACACACACACACACACACAAACGCACACACACACACACAAATGCGCACACTCACACACACACGCACGCACGCGTGCACACACACACACTCACACACACTCACGCACACACACACACTCTCCCTCCGAGGTAAAGATAAGTGAGTCTGTTTATTTATTTCACCAAAGAAACAAAAGAAGCATGTTATGATTTCATATGACTCATGTAATTATTGCAAATGTGTCATGTAGGGCTCTGCGATATTGAAGAAAAATGCGATATGCGATACCTTGTTAAAAAATGCGATATTCGGTATGCGATACGATATTGCTTCAAGTGTGTAAAATCTATTTCAATTATATTTTCACATATTTAAAAATTTTAATTATATAACCAATTTGTTTCACGTTCTTTCTTGGAAAATAAAGAATCACTACAACTTCTGAAAGTGACCAGCAGTGATTTAGCAGTACATAAAAAGTAATGTCACAAATCAGAAAATGCATTTTAACATCAGTGTGAACATACAAACCAAAAAAATTAATGACACTAATTTTATATCATTGTAACTTTGCTTTCCATACGCTTTAAGTACTTCTTCATATACCACAGCAAAACTACACTCTAAAAAATGCTGGGTTGTTTCAACCCAACTTTGGGTCAAATATGGACTAACCCAACTTTTGGGTTAAAAATTTAATGTAAAAATTTAACCCAACGGTTGGGTTAGTTCATATTTGACCCAATGTTTGGTTGAAACAACCCAGCATTTTTTAGAGTGTATAGTCTGAGAAAGTTCAAACATGATTAAAGGCAAGGGAAGAAAGAAAAAGAAATACACAATTTACAAGCATAGATAAAATAAACAGTAGTATTC